CACTGGCCTAACGATTCATAGGATCCGACAACATAATCAAGAGTAGCAAAGAATTATAAAAGTAGGTACAACTTCCAATAATAAACATGTCTACTTAAATATACAGATCTTTTCTGAGAATTGCGCAATGCAGATGCTTTTTAATAATGATCGAGTAATTGGTATAGCGATAGAAAATAATACAAAGTATCTACATTAATAAAGGTAGAATTTGTTTTACTTACTTCAGCTGATCTTCTTTAGATATTTCCTCCGGCATATGATACGATCACCACCGGCAGATCACCACCCTAAACATGATCAGAGAGTTAATAATATGGTTTTTTTAAAAACAAGTAGTGTATTATTGGACACCTCATAGGCATAACTAAAGCAATACGGATTTCAAAAAAACCACAAGAGTAACGAAAAAAGAGAATTTGGGTATGTGAAGGACCGTGGACTAAGGACTAGTTATAAGCACAAGTATAACAGCACACTAAGATGTATGCGTGAAGAACTAAGGAGCAGCTATAAACGTGAAGTCAAACTGTTTATGAGATAAGTTATGAGATGTAGGAAGCAATATTGTTACCCTAAAATTCCATAGATAAGAGCGGTTGAAACTACCGGTGAAAAATGAATTGGAATGAAATTGGAATTGAATGCAGTCAACCGCTCTTATCTATGGAATTTTAGGGTACTATAATGAGGAAAGTCGAGGACATGAATAGGATGGTCGGAGGTAGACCCCGTAGATAATCGTCCGCACCGGCTCACGCAATAGGCAGAATATGATGAATCGATAACAGGACAGACTCTACACACAGTGTGAAGTACTTAGGCCATATTGTAAAATGAAAATAGTACCGTGCGTATGAAAGGACCGCTTTCATGAACATCGACAGCAACAATGAAGGTTAAGCAATAATTAAGAATATTCATTCAATATAGGATTTAACGCACAGTTACTAGTGAAGGAGGTAGGCATGAAGCTCATACTCACAATTCATATTATTTTTGGTAACTTCATTTTTGGTCAATTTACATCTCCAATAAGTATACAGTATTATTATGCGAGATATTTATTTATTTTTTTCATACTAAACACCTGCAACCCTTGTAGGTCTTAGTATTTCTTTGCATTCCCCATTCTTTTTCTCTTTGATTTTCATTCGATTCTATTGTTTACCATTACTTTGAATGTTTTATTTGTAATGTTCTAATCGTTTTTATCATCATGCTTCAAATAGGTTTATAGCAGGAACCCTATCCACTATTGTACCTTGCATATGGGCTTGACCCCTCATATGATTAGATTTATAGGCCAAAAAATAAGGATTCGAATTGTCATGAAGATAATAAATTCGAAAAGGTAAGAAATTGGAAGACCATTACACTGCGAAAGATTTCGGCAATAATAATAAGGGTTGCAAATGTGATAGTGCGTAAAATCTGTAGTATAATAGACACAATTACATTTACAACAAGCTTGTAAACCAACAAATGTAAAGTTAAATGACCAAATATAATACCAAAAAAGTCATGGTGAAAATGTAGTTGGGGGGTGCCACCGCCTTTTTGTGCTCTGACACCACGTGGCAGAGTGCATAGAGACCGCGCTAGAGCGCAGAGATGGTTTCCTCCCCTTATGAAGGTTAGAGGAGGAGCCCCGGCTTGGGAGAGATGATTGTGTCGTGGAAAAAGCCGGGATGGAGTAAGAGTCGAACATTCAATTGGTTTACCCATCCCGGAGCTCCTTCCTTGTCTTTATAAGGGGAGGAGCTTCGGAATGGGTGAGATGATTAGATGGGGTAAGTATTGAAGAGACGCAGAGCACAAAAGGGCCTATGGCAGCCCCCAACTACATTTTCACCGACGTCATTTATTGTATAACTTGTAAACGTTGTGGAATGCAATATAAAGGCTTATTCATGTTCTTGTTACAATAGTTATTGTTTCACACTATTTTTCATTAAATGTGACTTCTTAATCAATACACTTCAAAAGCGCAGTTCACGATAAATTTGAAGTACCCTTGTTCGGCAGAAAAGTGGAAGTGTTGATGTAGAGGAGAACATCGGTGGAGAGAAAAAGAAAGAGAGCGAGAAAATCCGCCTACTTCAACGCTTTTTGAAAAGTAGTGAAAGTTAACGTACGAGATCACCGTGACGGTAATGGCATGTAAGGGGTGTTTGGACGAGATTTAACTTGCTCTCATCGTGCAAAGAGCTGACTACATCAAACTGTAACTGTCCAGAATTGCCTTTCACTGCCGGTTATAACAAGTTGTTTGAACTTCCTACATTGGTTCTCTTATGAATGGTGTAGGCTCTACAAAGCCGTTGGAACTCGTCCACTGTAGGTGTTGCACTCACGCAATACAGTCTCTGGCCGCTTATTGTGCCCTATTCATGACGTTTTTCGACTTCATAGCGGCAATTATGGTATAAGGAGAAGCCCCGAATTCACATTATAGGGAAATCTCAGAAACCATTTTTATTGTGAACTGTGCCTTTGAATAGTCACCACTCAATCACTGAAGCCTCGGATGATGACTTACATTTGTTCGCGTGATTAAGAGACGAAACAAACAGTTTTTTGGTTTTTTTTCTCTTGTACACTAAATTATGTCTCTCTCTTATTGTAAAAAGACTTCAGCCAACAACGCACAATAAGGAGAACAAGAAAATCGAGCCATCCCCCGATCACTGGATGAAGCCCAGGTTGAGGTTAAATCGTTACGCTCTTACACGTTTCAGAGTAGAACAGCATATGCTACCTTATTGCGACTACCATACCTTATTGCGACTTGCCTGTTCCCTTTTAGAACCGGCAGTGCTTCGTGTTGTATTCTGAATAGCTATCGATTCCCACTTAAAATGAATTTCTGATAACAATTCAATCGCCAAGTGTACTCAACAACACCCTGTACGGAATGGGCTGTACGATAGCTTGTAACTGAGCTCCGGACGCGTGGCATACTGGCGGAAAGGTTTCTTCCGTCTCAGCGGCTGTTTATAGAATCAATTAATCTAAATACCGGAGTGAGGCTAGAGGGTCCAACATCATGACTGAGCCGATATTTTGGTTAAGACCTGACGCAAAAGATATAATTGTGGCCTGGCGAAGCCACGAGGTATTCCGAGTACAGGGTTAGCGAGCAAAGGCTTTACCGGACGGAAGAGTGCCCAACGTTTACGCTGGACGTAAGGACTTCCATGAGGTTGACCTTTGTACAGTAAATTTGAATGAAGACCAATTCGAGAGGGCACTGGCCCAACTATTTGCTGCTGGCTTGTCTTTTGTTCTTGTATTGAATATCGCCAAAACTGTTGGGGGTTCTGTTGGAGTTGGGCAATTTGATTTCGATCTTTTCGGAACTGGTGAAGGCAATCTTTCTGAAACTTAGCCAAGGAAATTCACGTTCAACCTCAAGCTCGAGCTATTTATTTTCGCTACATCAAGATCAACGAAAAAATTGATCTCCACGCGTTGCTAATAGGCTTGCTTAAGTACCCAGTGCAGGTTTTATTTTGTGAGCCATATAGCTATACTTTGGACGGAGGTGGTATAGTGGCAAGTAGTGTGATATTTTCCTTCCTTCAGCTTTCCATTTACCGGATTGGGGCTAATCATCTGTCAAGATAGAAGCAGTAACTTGTTTATTGGCTAGCTTCTCCCATTCATTGTAGGTCACATACGCATTCTATACGCCACTACTCTCAGTGAAAATGGGACTGGGAGGCGCATCTTCAAACCGCATCCTTGGGGTTTTATAGCAACCATAACGTTATCATTTATCCTTGTATTGTTTGGCTTTACAGTAATCTTACGGCTTTGTGCCTAACCCATAGTTGCTATTGTTGTGAAAACAACGAATTTGCGCCATCTCCACATTCAACCGGACTGCCGTTTCGTACGTCGCTTACCCCATCTATCCGTTGTCCTCCTTCCAGTCGACTGTGAGCATTTTGTGTTCACCGTCTATGAAAAAGTGTCGAGTTTTTAGTCATGTACGTCTGAACCGGAAGCCTTCAAGTTGTCTACTTCGATATTGTTCGGAAATAGTTTGGAATATGAATATTCTCAGATAACTCGAATACATCTGAACCAAACTGCAAGGTAACCGCAGCCAGGTTGAGAGAAGCATGTCAGTGCTCGACTATCCAGAGAAAAGTAGAGATGGTGCCGCAAAATGCGAAGGGGTTGACAATGGCAGCACTATAAAACAAAAAGGCTCTTGAAGCCATCATATTCCCTCAGGTGAAGGAATAAAATGTCACATACATAACTCTCAGAAGAGTTTGCATTTATCTGCATCCCTTTCAGAGTAGAATGCCATGCTGAGGAGAGCATCATCTTTGATCTTTATGTGTATATTCGTATATTTATTTAAGTATATTTACTATGGCTACGAAAGTAGAAACAATGAAGCCACCTTTCGCACTATACAGCAGAAATGCTACGAGACAGCTTTCCAAATTTTTTTGGGACTGAACCAGCTTACTACAAAGGCGTTCGGGCGTACTTTTAGTTGGTAATATTACACCATATTCAATGGTACAGAAGGCTTCGTCCCTCCCGTGCTTCTATTCCTGGTGGGTGTTCGTGTTTATTCTGAAATAGTAAGCCGGCAAGGACCACTCGTCACGTTCAGTCCCTCAACAGTCTGAAAACTTGCAGTGAGTTTTTATCGACTATTCTCTACAACGTTTATTTTTGATTAGCAAAGACCTTATGGGATAGTGTGGAATAAGGGGAAGGGGAGACCGACAATTCTGCCTGATGCGACGGTATACAATTAGCTATAAGATTGGACTAAAACGAGAGAAAACAAGTGTCTCTTATAGATGGTAATCAAATTCCTGTTAGTTTCACTTTATTTTTTCGAAAAATTTTGATGCAAACTCGTTCATTAACAAATCATCAGCAGATGTCAATACTGTTCTCCTGAGAATAATTTAATCGGAACTACTTAAGCCTCTTTGTACAGACACCGTGGATCTTGCCATCACCATTCACTGAAAATACGGTGTTTGAAAATCCGAAATAATACAATGACGCTTAGCCCTTACCAATTTCGCTTGTCTATCCATCCATTGATTGATAGAGGAACCAATTTTGCTTTCTTCCTCTTCCTCGCCCTGGGTTGACACCGGCTAAATATCAATACTATATAGTTAGATGCAGAACTTTGCCGGACAGGGAAAGTTAGTACGAATTCGTTCCTACCTTTCTAGCTTTGACTGGGAATGCAACAGCCGCTGCAGGCCAGTTAGCAGTAACCTTCATAACATCAGGCCAATTAGCTGGCATAGGTGGAACATAGTTATAGAAAGGAGTGGCTGGTCTCCAAGCAGCTCCATATGTCGACCCTGAAGAGAAAATTCTAAACTAGTGAGAGGCTTCAATACAAGGGAACGTTCCGACATCAACAACGAAAGAAGTTTTTTTAAAAGCTCACAAACGGGGCAGCAAAAGTACGGCCCGATATCGACGGAGTTGGTGGCGTAACAGTAGGATTGAGGAGGGCACTGTGGCCAAGGGCGTTTGGGGTCGCATTCGATCGGAAGCGATGGTCCTCCTGGGCACTGGCCTGTAGGGGCAACAACGGCTGGCTGCATTGCTACCACTGGAGCGGCTGCCATCACTGGAGGAGCAGGTGCCACAGGAATCGCTTAATAAGTCGAATTTGAGATGGTGAATTCTAGATTGTATTGTCTAATAGACAGACCTGGAGCTGCTAGAGGCGCAGCAAGTTGCACGTTTCGGGGAACTTGAGCGGCACCCGCTAACGGCTGGACATACTGTCGACGCTTATTGCTGGTGGGCTCTTCTAGAATTTTTTTGTGTTGCCATGCATTAAGTATTGGTAAATGAAGCCATTCAAGGAAAAAATTAGATGGAAAGGAAAAAAATTCAAAAACAATTGCGAGCAACCAGTAAAATTGTACCTGGATTCGGAAGAGCAAATGCTACAGCAACTAAGCAAAAGCTAGCAGTGAGAAACTTCGAGACCATGGTTGATTTGCTGCTTCTTGCTGCATCTGTTGGTTTTATACGTGAGATCTGAAACGGGGCGGGGCGTACCGGTCGGTCAGTGCTGCTGGACCCGATGGAACCCTCGGCGAAACAACGGAATAAAGCAGCGCCAAAACACGTTCGGAATAGGAGGAGCAGTTCGACTGGTCGCCATACAAACGGCATGAATTCCTCCCGACAAGGAAACTCAAAACCTTGAGTGAGTTTGCTAGGTGTTTTTTATCCAGCTCACCTCCGATGTCCAGAAGTTTTTCTGTTTGAATTGCGAGAGAATTGAGTTGCTGGGATACCTGAATTGCACTTGAGCTTACCAAGAAACGCTAGGACAGGAAGAATAAACCTAAATTTTTTAAATCAGAGCGTGTCCTGGTTCCAGAGAATTTGTGAGGGGTTTAGCCGGCCCACGGATTTCTTCCTGTTTTTCCAAACCACCGCAATTGAAGAATAATTTGAAAAATTCGAGAGCAACACTTGTAAGGTCTTATACCTAGTGATTAGAGGACAAAAATTAGGAAATACAGTTGTCACCATTGCATATGTTCCTCTTACAGCGCAGCCCCAGCAAGCCCTCATTTCCGGTTTACGTATAAGTTGGCAATTGCAGGGAAGATCTTGAAATTCATGACCGACTTCATTTAAACCTCATATACTTTTACGAATCCAGACTGTAAAAGTTATGAGTACATCATAATGAAGAGCTTTCGAAGGAGCTGCTGTTTCCTGGCGGAACTACTAGTTGAGATGAGTTTGAACGAATTTAAAGGCAGTGGTCAGATTAACGCTGTTCGCTGGTAGGCTGAGCTCTGCATTTTCAAGGACGACTGTAGAGTACTCAGATCTATCACTCTCTGCACATATGAATGGGCTCAAAATGCTGTTAAAGCTACTGTGAAGCACCATAAAAGATGATTTACTTGAAATTAGTCAAAATTAATCAAAATGTATCAATAAAAAAAACTTGAATTTGGCGTTCATCAATCCCGTTCTGGGTGCAAGCCAATGCTTTTATTCCCAGACAGTTCTGATTCCACTTCACCAACTCCGAAGGGATGAAGGCTTTTTGACCTAGCGAGTATCAATTTGAGATTCGGTCTTCGGATTACGCGTGTGGGTTTGTGCGCCACTTGCCTCTACACTACCCGTGAAGCACCATTTGGTAAACAATGGATGAACTTTGAAAGATCAATTCTAAGCAAAGATGTAATCGCTTTGCTTGTTGGAATACAATTAAGAAAGAGCTTACTAGTGGTAGACATTTTGCAGATTTTTCTCGTGGGTGTAGATGCAACCCTTTCCACCGTCAGTTGCAAAGTCTGTAGAACCTCCTAAACGGCTCCGCTATTTTGAGGTTAAGCAAACGAACACAATTAAATTATCCAATTATTTTGGATGTTAACGGACTTACATTCTCTACAGCCAGATAAACTTATTGTAACAAAGTCCTTTTCAGTTGGTTCGGGTGTTTGGCATCACAATCGAACTGACGATAATAGAAGCCCGAATAGGTTGAAAGTTTGCTTCTACTTCGCAAACGCTGCATGGCCTCACACTACTCATATTGAGCGATAACTAAAAATTTATCGACAATCTACCCTTTTCTAGTTTTCGCAGGTATGCCGAATTTCCAGGTCATAATGGCTTGGCAGTGTAGCTACCGGCGTGTTACGCGGCATTTCCGGCCGTTCCGAAGAAGATAGGCGAGAAACTAGACACATTCGGCGCTCTTCCATGTCCGGCTGGTGTTGACATATGCAGTGATGCCTTGTCTATTGTCTAGCCTTAGATAAATACACCTGAATAGGTTGAATGAGCTGTCGCTGTGTTCGTTCAAAAACCACCTCTCACAATTAATCAAATGAGTCATGCAGTAGAAAAGTGCTGTAGACTGTAAGAATACTACCGTATGATCGAATGAAATTGATAGATTCAATGCACTACTGGTGCTACACAGTGCGAAATGCAAGAGGAAATTATGCCTCATTTTTCTCCTGAGCATCTACTTTATGCCAAAGTGTTATATAGGTTCTGATATACAAATTTAGGACACCCTTATTGTTAAGTATTATTTTAAAAACCCATATAAGCTGTCTAACGTAGCTGTTCGGCGACAGTGGGAGGGGAAAAGGTAGCTGAAGTTCGGCGACAGTGGGAGGGGAAAAGGTAGCTGAATTTGCTTCTTTTATAGGAAAGTAGGGGTAGAAATAACCTGCTAATGACTTAGGATTCTAGCGAAATGAGAGGCCAAGGTATCACTCGAATTAGACACGAAGTTTAGTGCTAGGTGATCAGTAAGTGCACAGTCCTTGATAGTTTTGAAGAACTTTATTTTTTTCCTGGAGTAATTAATGGAGGTGCTTGTGCAGAATAGTGCATCGTTCTGAAAACAGCGCCGATTCCCATAGATTCCCCTGAGGAATGGAGGGGTTCCCTATTCCAGATGAAAAAGGGGGTTGTACGAGATTATGAGAGCAGATGTGGTATGGAAGAGGCATTTTGGGAGTGATTTCTGTACGCACTTGCATAAAGAGCTGGCTTCCGAACACCAAAAACGCCGAAAATTGCTTTCTACTATCTCCATGGGTCGAAGCTCCGGACAATCAACTGTTCGAATTTTCAACATAAGTGATTCGTTGCGAACAGTGCAGGCGTGCTTAGGTGGAAATGAAGTAAAATCAAGATAAACAACCAAAAAAGTGACCCAAAATCCTCCCATGGCTCTGAATTCTAGAGGGGAATTGCTGACTGGGTTGTTCCTCATAAGTCTTTGCATAAGCCTGATGCCATCAGAAGCCAATACAATAAATGGAATATCGACGCGTGATCGAAGCCCCAACAAAACTTATCAGCTCAAAAATTCTTATCATTTTACGCCTCAATAACTGGTTTTGCAGGCACATGGAGGTGTTTACCTTCGATAAATAAATATGACGTCTCTGTGACTCGGCTGCTCTTCACGGTGCTCCGTTTCGCGGCAAGACAAATTCGACCGCTAGCTGACCAAGCCTGCCAAGAGGCGCACTATGTACCTCGCGTATTGCCCATGGTTTGGTTACAGAAAAGATGGGCCAAGCGAGCCTTCTATACCTCCAGACCGGAAGAAAACTTCATCTTTGTTGTGTCACAGATCACATTACGTAGATGCGAAAGATGCGTAGAAAGATCGAATATCAAAGTCGATCATTTCTATCTGTAGAACAACACTCGACATGTATTTTTTTCTGATTTGTTCCGCTCAAGAATTCAGTCTCTAATTGGATTCCAACTCCAAGTTAAAAGATTCGGTTCCAGTCTACAAGGGTCTCGTCACTTCTTAGTTCAAGGTGATTGATGGCTAATAATGTTGTGGCCTGAGTGTACATTTTTTCTATGCCCGTCCAATTGTAAAAAATGAAAGCTTAACCCAATCACAGTACATTCAAAATGGAGAGGCACAAGTGGAAAACGGAAATCTACACTGCTTTAACTAGAGCAAGCAGCAAAATAGCGCAATGGAATCAGTACATTCTTACCCGAGCTGTTTTCTATAGATTCTTTCGCCAAACAACAAATTAAGCTTTCATTTAAATATTCCTTTTCGATAGATACCTTTTGTAAGCTTCCATGTTCTAGCGCTGCATGGTCCGTACAAGTTTTGTGCAGAGCTAATTTCACTTCGATGACGTCTTTGGGCTTGATCTGACCGATGAAGCCAAAGATGAGCAAATGTTTGGGTATGCGGCCAATCGTCGTCCGGTCTCAAGCCATTGAAACATTTGACGCAATTGTCGCCGCTTCCGGTTTTTCTATTTGACAACCTTTGAAGTATTTGTTTTGCCGCCATAAATTCCGCTTAATACTCCGAAATCTTTTCTTTTGCAAAAGCCGCATGAAACGTGATTAATAACTGTGAGCAATATAAAATGAGCATTGTCAAGTTCGTTTGACAACAATGTCTATCATGCAATATTGTTTAACTACGTTTAACTGGTTTTCCAATGTGAACTTACCTTTAGGATTAAGAAAGTAGAATTCTCTGATATTACGCAAATGATGAGTTTTACTACATCAGTACTAGCTAGGGCTTCTCTCACTAGGAAGCCTTCAAGTCGAGGTGCAGATGCGTAGGAAAAAGTCGCATATCGCCAGTCTAGCTTCGTGCCGTGCTCAGCTGGTTTTCCTGTTTGAGCTCAATTCAACGCAATGTGTGAAGTGAGAGGGCACGTTCGGAACCGCCTATTTGTTCTTCCCTGACAGCCGTCGGCAGCGCCAACTTTTTCCTGTTTCCTGCTGTTTCAATTTCAGAGGACCCTTATGAACGGTACCGGGAACTTCGACACAAACGAGTATTGGCTTCAAACGACTAGAGTAGCAGGGTACCGTAGTGACCAAGGTTTCATGGCTAAAATTCTCCGAGAGCCTTAGAAGTCAAGAGAGCAAGTAGTCTACGAATTCCCGAAATATATGTATACTTCATAAATGGTATACACACGTCTTTCTACAAAAATCATTGAAATGAAGAATTGTCCGAGATTGTTTCATGAGCTTTTCTATTTTACCTTATTGTTAAGTATAAAAGTATTACTAAAATACGTGTGGCTCTCCCAGAATAAGCGAATTTTGCCAATCTTTGAATAGGGCCGCAGCAGGGTGTCAGTTTGAGGGCAAGCATTGGAAGTGTAAAACACAGCACAGTACCATAATAAAGACGACGAACCAAATCAATCCCATTTCTGGGAAACGCCTTGCATTCAACTTCTATTCGGAATCGTGGTGGCGTTTCGAATACGTGCATATATACTGTGTGGCTTGAAGGGATAAGCCGATGTACAAGTCCGAGCTTTTATTCTCTTATTCTTATCCTTTTATCCCAAGTCTTGTACCATACCTCTGACGTCTAAGATGTGGAAAAAATCCTTGAATTGCGATTGCGATTTTGGCTATCAATACGAGCTTCGGTCTAGGGGCCCATCGTGATATATCAAATCACTAGCTAATATATC